TCAATAGTTCCATTGATGAAGTGTTTGTTGTATCCCGAGGTGGCGATGTAAATTCCTCCGTTGGAATATGAGATCAGCTGTCAACCTACACGTCGGATTCCATGATTCCCTCTCTCTAGGTATCGCCCCCAGCGGAGCCCCGCCCCCTCGAAAAACTCAAAGATCCACACTAGTCTTTCGACTGTGGTTCTTATAAGGTGGAGTGAATGTGTGAATGTAGAAGAGGGTTTAAGGATGAGGAAGGAAATATTGCGCGTTGTCATTATTCAGTTTGTTAGGGTAATACTGCTTCGGCATTCAGCTGGTAATGATCAGAGAAAGCAAGGAAAGCTACCGACCAGAGCCAACTGATTTCAACTTTGCGTCGAAAATCCGCCTCTGTCGGGATTCGAAACCTGGGCGGCGGCACTGCGGAAGTAATGAAAATGCGAATACTGAGCTATCGCTGCTGTGTGCGAAATGAGCGCGTGTTAGCACGTCAATGCGTCGGCCACGCTCACCGAGCACGCACTTCCTCTCCAGCGCATCTGGTCCGCTTTCCACCGCCTCGTCCCGGGATTCAGAGCCCGGTCCCGCCGAATGAAATTGGTGCGTGAAGCGGGTCCATGTCACGCTTTTGCGGTGTGTTCCCGTTTCCCCAATATCTCGTTGCTGCATCGTTGTCGTCTATTCATGAATTCTTTCCTTATCACAGCTAACGCCAAAACCATTCTGGTAGTGGAATCGTGATAACGCCGCGCTCTGTCAAGCTAAAATAATACTACGTTTCCGTTTGTCAGCTGGTTTCACTGATTGCGATGACGTGATGTTTCTAAAGATATAAAAGTTACAGCTTCTAATCATGTCTAAGTTTGTTAGTTGAAAATGGAATTCACTTCAACATTATTGGAACATTAAAGTGTGAATTATAATTAATATGCCTTGCTCCACACTATGTCTTGACCTCTTTACACTACCTTGTGCCCACTACACGCCTTTAATATGAAGTAACATATCACTGGAACCTCGTGCAGTTAGTAAAAGGTGGATAATATTGGAATACTCACTGCACTAGAGCTCCATTCTTTAGCTTCTTTGAGCATGTTACAAAAAAGTAATTCAGTAAATATTCGTATTTTCCAGCGATTGAAGTTGCTCTACATTGCATATGTGTATTTTTACATAAAAACTAGAATACATCTTCTCTCGAAGGTCACATCCGTATTACCATATATCACCAGATTTTGCAACCACTTACTTATGAAAAACAGTTTAAACCGAGCGAGTTTGCTGACCAATATAAACAAATAAGAAATTGTTAATAATGACGTTTGGTATCCAATACTCTGGCAATATCTGATGTGTGGCGAGATTACAAATTATCCGTTTACTTAGTATTAAATATTAGGACGCACTGTCTGGGAAACAATTATTACAGCTGATGTGGTTGGTATTTTTCTATGGTGTGTCGTATCAATTTCAAGCGAAAGACGACGTAGTAACTTAACAAACTTGACACTGACCGCACGCATTCCTCCCTCAACCCTGTTCCCCCCTTTTCACTATCATACACACACACTCTTTCACGTACACGTAAGCCACTACCACACGCGTTAAGGGACCAGTCGGAAGTTTGCGTCAGTTGGGGAAGTATCACGTTATGGGAAATACCTGAAGGAGGGAGTACCGCGCCTGGCAATGTGCAGGTCTGCAGCCAGGAACGTACACCGCCACTTCTCGGCATATGACTTGCACTTCACTTACGGGACTAATGGCTGTAGCCGTTGGCGCGCCCAGAAACATTAAATTATCGGTGAATCGTTTTGTGTGAGAGCTTTTTAAGTTAATTTCTTATTAGAAAAACTTAGCAATACCCAGCAAGTGATTCGCGAGTTTTAAGGAGGCTCCACACATTCGGCTTTCGCCAACAAGCGAGGTACTGCTCGCCCAATCCCAGCGAGTTCGCTTCCTTTGAAATGTCCAAAAGACTGATAAGCGGTGGGTAAGGCGAGCACCGAATGTTCGTCACACGGCAAATAGCAAGCAAATCTTCCAGACTACTTGGAATTCGGCGAGCGATTGCACACTACTCGCGAAATAACGACTGTGTGGAACCGCTTTTGGAAAGGAGATTCCTCTGACGTGTCCAAAAGACCGATACGCGGTGGGTAGTGCAAACACCGAAAGTTCGTCACTCAACAAATAGCACGCAACTCATCCACTCTACTTGGAATTCAGCGAGCGGTTGCTCACTACACGCGGAATAACGACTGTGTGGAACCGCTTTTAGAAAGATTCCTTTGATGTGTCCAAAAGACCGATACGCGGCGGGTAGTGCGAGCAGCAAAAGTTCGTCACTCGGCAAATAGCACGCAACTCATCCACACTATTTGGAATTCGGCGAGAGGTTGCTCACTACTTGCGGAATAACGAATGTGTGAAACCGCTTATTAGAAAGGATATTCCTTTGATGTGTCCAAAGGACTGATACGCGGTTGGTATCAGCACCGAACGTTCGTTACTCGGCAAGTGGCAAGCAACTCATCCACATTATTTGGAATTCGGCGAGCGGTTCTCGCTACTCGAACGTGTGGAGCTCGCTTTAGAAAGAAGCGGGGGGAGCAAAGAGTAAGAGGGGGCTCACCGTAGTTGAAGGAGCCCTTCTGCCGCATCATGGGCACGAGGGCGCGCCGGTCGGGCGCCGAGTGGAAGACGGCGAGCGCCGAGCGGTTGCGCGGGAAGCGCGACGCCCACGCGCCGCGGAAGAAGGCGGCGTTCACCAGCACCAGCTGCGCGTCGGGCCGCAGCGCCGGCACCAGCTGCTTGATGTGGCCGGCCGTCTGCTCCGACACCCACGCGTTGACGCGCGCCGCCGCCGCCTCCGGGTCCGCCGCCACCGCCAGCGACTCCTGGTCCGCGCCCAGCAGCTCCTGCTCCCCCAAACACACACACGCCGCGCGCTCTTGGATCACGCTCGCCCACTCGCTGACCGTGCTGCCTACACTGCGAGTTATGCAACTCTGCCCCTGGCAGGTATCAGCTGTTGGCGGTTTCATTCAATCGGGAGCTAAAACGCCACCATAGTGACGTCACTATGGTAACGTTAGAGCTCCCGATAGGATGAGACCGTCAACAGCTGATTCAATCGGAAGCTTGAACGTCACCATAGTGACATCACATGATTTAAAGCTCCCGATAGGAGGAAATTGTCAACACCTGATTCAATCGTCACTTGAACGTCACCATAGTGACGTCACTATGGTGACGTTAGAGCTCCAGATTGGATGAAACTATCAACAGCCGATACCTGCCAGGGCAGAGTCGCGAAAATCGCAGTATAGGGATGGCAAATTTTACCCAATCTCAAATACATTACCGAAAGGTTTTCGATGTCGTCGAAAAACATCAATGATCGATGATTTAAATATGATAAAACATTATCATAATATTCATCATATTTTTCCATCCCATTTCCACTTTAATTATTGCACTTAAATGAGTTATATTTTATTGTTTATTCACGTGTAAATAAAACTTAAAAAATCATTTATATCGAATCTAAAGAAGGAATATTTATCTTATCTATCCTTTATATCTGCCCATAAAACGTCGTAGATATTTTGTTAAAATCATCATAAATTGAGACATCCTGGACAAACTCCCAAACATAACCATAAAAAATCTCTTCGTCTAGGCATCGACAACAGTGATACATGTCACTGGCTACTGATTTTGAGCCATCCACAAAAAAAATAGTTTCTTGAAATTTTATATTCAGTCGAATCATGAGAAGTATAATTTTTTTGAAAACATTGATGTTTCTGGGAAAACATATCGAAGAAGGAGAGAGGGGGAATGGAAGAATATATAGTAGAAAACATGTACGTTAACGTTTTTTTGCCATTTCATTTTTTTGGGGCCACACGATACGGCACGTGCACTTGCATGACTGTCTATTAAAGCCCCTCGCTCGCCTTGCCATATAACCCTGGCCTTTCCTACCGCAACACAACGCGTGCTTTGCTCAACCTCCTATCGCAACACAACGCTCGCCTACCTCGCTCTGGCCCCTCTCCCCGCTGCTCGTCCTGTCGACAAACGACAGGAACTTCAAGAATCCTGCACGACGCGGCACCCGCTCTTGGATGACGCTCGCCCTGTCTCCATTCCCCTGCTGACCCTTCTGCCGCAGCACACGCACTTAGATGACGCTCGCCCCACCCCGCTCTGGCCCCAGCCCCCGCAGCCCGTGGTACTGCACAACACGCCATTCACCCTGCCCCTCTTCTCACTTTCCGCTGTCCTTCCTGCCCCGAGATTCGTCAAAGCTTGACTGTTCGTTCCCTATCCACGACATTTGTCCGTTTCACATTGTCCCCACCCGCACTGCCCGTTCTGCCGTACGACACGGCACGCACTCTCCAATGGCGCTCGCCATTCATCCTCTCCCTGTGCCCATCCCCGGCTTCACCTCCTGCCGCACGATACGCCAAATTCTGGGATACCGCTTTTCATCCACGTCCCTCGCACGTTTCACAATGCCCACCACTCCGCTTCTCTCAAGAAACCTTCCTAAGCCACTCAAGTCTATACTTCGACAGACCCCTCCACCCCCCTCCCACATGTTATTGAATATACAATATGAAACCTCCCGATCTGCCGGCAAAATTCACTTCGTCCGCGACTCAATCCCTTCCCGTTCGATGCTATCAGAATCTCCTCACCACCTCGCCGCACCAACTTCAATTTCCAGACTCCTCCTCCATTCGACACACAGAGCCACACACACACACACACACACAATCACAGACCCAGACTCCGATATCCAGACTCTCAGACACCAACACAATCACAGGCACATAAAGGCAAAGGCAGACTTTGACCTAGACACACACTGACCCTGAACTTACAGACCCAGACACACACAGACCCAGGCACACACAGACCGGACACACTCAGAGATAAGCACACACACACACACACACACACACACACACTCTCTCTCTCTCTCAGACATACATACCCATACGCATACACACACCCAGACATTCTCATATGTAGAGGTACACAGACATACACAGGCCCAGACACACATTGCCCCAGACATACATAGAAACACACAGAC